CCGGCTTCCCCACCAACAAGCGGCGCCCCAGAAGAAAGAAAGGGCGCCCCCCCCACAAGGGGACACCGCGTCGGGCCGGAATTGGAGGACGCCCAACAAAAGCCCTCAGTCGCCCGCGGTGCCGCGCCCTCGAGGGCCACCTCCCGGCCAGCCCTCGCCGTACAGCTCACGCAGGTCCGCCTCATAGCCGGGGGCGACCCGCAGACCGAGGCCGAGCACCTTTGCCACCATCGGGTCCGAGCTGTGCCGGTCAAGCTGCGCCTCGAGTGCCACGGACAGAAAGTAGAACTGCGTGATGGCGCCCGCGTAGAGACCCTCCTCGAGAAAGATGAGGGGCAGCTTCAGCATGCGAACGCGGTTGCCAAAGGTATGGCCAGTCTGAATGGACTTCATCATCCTTCCGTAAAGAGGCGGCCCGCCGCGGTGGCCGACAGGGACCTCCTCGGACTCGACCTTCATGGCAGTCTCAGCGGCGAGGTACTCGGTCGCCATATGTCGAGCACTTGGCGAGCTCTGGCACTCGAGGTTGTCGAGGCTGCGCCCAGCCACAACGGAAGCTCCAGGTATAATGTAAGGGGTGGTGCGGCCGTGCCGGCCGCCCTCGCAAAGTCAAGAGTGCACCCGCGAACGCCGCAAAGCAGGAAAAGTCGAGGACGCCAGAAAAAATATGTGGTTGAACACTCTGCCGGATGGCGACGGCTAGCACCACCACTCCTCTCCTTAAAGTCCCTGTGTGGTGGCGGCGTGCCGTCCTCCCATCCCTCCTGGGCGCTTATGTTTTCTTTCTTTCTTTCGGATGGAGATGAGACGCCTCAAATTTTCTCTCTTTCCCAACTCGACACCTCGACACCTCCTGCCAACTCGACACCCTCGACACCACTCGACCCCTCGAGCCTCGACACCCCTCGACACCCCTCGACACCATCTAGGCTGGGACCATCTAAAAAAGGGAGAACCCCGGGCTGCGGGAACTCGATCACAATGGTAGGACGCCACGCCGCCACCACACAGGGATTTAAGGAGAGGTGTGTGGTGCGCTAGCCGTCGCCCACCCTAGGGAGTCTGCCTCTTCCTATCTCTCTTCGCAGTCTCTCTCCGATTCTCGCTGCAACCTTCATGCCACCTCGCGGTCGTCCCACTCTCGTCGTTCTCTCCCTTGTCATTTCCTTCTCTGTCGCGTCGTTCCCTTCTGCCTCGTCCTGTGACGCCGCCGCCTGCCGTTCCCTTGTTCTCGCGGCTTCTTTCGCCTTTCGGCGCAACTCCGTCTTCCTCGCGGCGTATCCTGGCCCCTCGAGTCTATCGAGCTCCCCTCGCGCAAGGACCACGTTTCTGACTCCCACTCCGATCATTTGCCTACAGGTCATGTTGTTGCTCAGGTCCACTCTCTCTTCGAACACTCGTGCCTCTACGGATGATGCCGGCGCTGGGGTGAGGTACTAGACTGTGGTCGTATTGGAATAGTAAAATTCTTGTTCCTGGCGTGCGCTTTTGCCGTCAACGTTCCGCTCTGCTTTGTCCATCACGCGTGTATGAAGTCTCCGCATACGCACGGCGCCGGCGCGATCGCATTCGGCGTCCTCAGCTTCGGCTTGACCTTCCTCGGGGTGCCGTCGGCCGCTCCTGGCGCTGACTCCAACTCCACAATACCCACGAGCAAAGCTGGTTACTGGGGAGAGCCGACCGCGGTGCACCAGTTTTGCGAGCCGAAGTACGCGTCGAGCCACTATTTTGCCGAGTACTTCAACTCCCTCTCATCGCTGGTATACGCGGTTGTCGGTTGCTACATGCTGTGGCAGCGGGAGGTTCGGCTCGACCCGCTCATTGCAGCAGGCGCCGACGGCTCCCGAAAGCTTGCCACCATACCGTTGCCACATCCGCGCCGGAAGGCTCTAGTCTCGATGCCCTCGGATCGCCTCACGCGTGCCCGCGCTTCCCGACGCCTGCAGAGGCGATCGCCGTGGTCGTCATTGGGCTGGGCTCATGCG